GGGATGATGGAGAATGAACGAAGTGGTTATGAGTAAGTGAACAGGGGAGAGAGGGTTACAGGGAACCAGGAGGTGGCTAAGGGCAAAGAGTGGAAATTTATTGAAAATGGTTAAGCAGTGTGGATTTGGACAAAGCACATTTTGTGTTTTGACAGTCTTGCATTTTTTTGAGCAAAGAATCAGCACAGGTGAGCTGAGGTCACCTTTTAGGATCACAGTCTAGTGTAGGGTGAAGTTTGCTCTGGTCTTAATGCAGTGTTTAGGTGAGTCCTTGTGTCATGTTGGGAGTTCATATTTCATAGAATCACATTCACATAGTAATTGTTAGACTTGGGATTCCAACACCAGCTTCTTGACTCTGGAGTGCATGCTGTATCTCAGTGTCAAAAACACTACTTGCTAATCTTTACTTTTTATGTTCTTATAGGCTGCATTCCTTTGTAAACCGTAAGACTCAGTTTATGTTTGAAGACTCTCTGATGGTCCAAAATGTTTCAGACAATAGGAAGTGTAACTATAATAATTTTTCTTTTGTGTGTTTTGAGCTCACATTTGTTACTACACTGTATGATAGAGACATATAAAATCACACCTCTTCACATGTGCGTTACCACCACCCAAGTACCCATTATCCCCCACCATACCTCATTGGGTCCTCTTTACTCTTCACCTTCTGCCTCTCCATGTATAACCTTTGCCTTACAGTCAGACTTCTAGGACTTGTTTTGGTTTGGTTATGTCTGTTCCTTTGTGGATTTTTTTTTCTCTATATTGTCACAAATTTCAAGAGTTCAACTTTATTTTTGTAGCTGACTAGTACTCCATTGTGTATACATACCAACAGTTCTTACCTACTCATTAGTCCTAGGGCATTTAGGTTTTTACATAATTTGGCTGTTATAGATATAGTTCCTACTTAAAAAAAAAAAAGATTTATTTTTGCATGCGTGCAAGAACTGGCATGTAGGTTAGAGGTACAAGACGTGAGTGCAGAGCGGAACTGGTGGATTGACTGAAACACACTGCTGAGGAGAGCAGTGGGTGAGACAGGCGTGGTCTGCTTCACTATGTGGGCCAGCTCCCTGGCCTGGGATCGAACTCGTGCTGCAGTGGCTGCAGATAGCTTGATAGTGTTGTGTCCTTAACTCCTGCACCACCAGGGAGGCCCAATTCCTATGAATTTTTGACATGAGATTATTTAAATCACTGAAAGTGTGGTTTCTTAAAAGTTCTTATGAATCTGGGTTAGATATTGTTCCTATCCATTTTGAGCTACTCTTCCTCAATCGTTCTTATTGAAAAAAGTGAACATGAAGTAACTGAATGATATGACCTTTACCTTTAAACAAAACAAAATAAAGATCTATCACCACTTTCAACCAGCTGGCAACAGAATTCTACCACTATTTTAAATTTTCCTCGACTTTACATTTGGTTTAACTAATCTTTATCGACCACTCTTCTTTCAGTTTTCCTGAGTTACTTGATTGAGGCTTTCCTGCTCTCTTGCCACTCAGGATACCAGAATATACCTTTAAGTTAATAGTCAAAATCATTTACATCCATATATGATTTCCCATTTCTAAAGGTTTCCATGAAAAAGAGAGGGGCAGAGAGTATGAGCATGGTGGAGAGGGGGTGTGAGGAGAAAGAGAGATACTTCTCTGATCTGTAGTCAAATACAGCCCTACCTTCCAGTGGGCTGCTTCAACTCAACCCCCTCTATTAGAAACCTTCAAGTATTTTCTTGAGCTTCCCTGACACGTGAGCATTCCTGGTGTGCAGCACAGATCATTCAAGCAGAAGCATCTCTCACTTTTAATAAGCAAAATACACTTAGAAGTGCAATATGATATATTTTTTAAAGTGGGGAAAGGTTTCACCAGAGGGTGAAGAACTCTTGCTCTCAAGAGTTCTGAGCAAATTTAAAACATTGAAATATATGACTCCTAAGAATCCATCCAGATATTGAGACTGAGCATTTAAAAAACAAACAAGCAAACAAAGCCTTAAACCATTCTGAAATATATTTAGGGTAATACTTGAACAAAACGGAGAAAATATAATAAAATGCATGTTTTGAAATAGACTAGAATCAGGAATGTCCAGCAAAATGGTTGCTTTTTGTCACTTTACATCTTTGTCCTTCTCCATATTTATCATGTGGCAGAGAAAAGGAAGGAGCCAAAAATCTTTATGCACAAAATAAACTAAAAGGAAGAAAAAGAGCTTTAATAAACTTTGAACACACACACACACAAAATATCAAAACACTCAGGTTTCTGCACTTCACAACACCTTAATTTTCCATCAGCCATGCAGCTGTGCACTTCCCACAGTGCAAAGTCTCATGAAGGGTATATTAATTAAGTCATTATGCCCTGAGAGTTAGGTATAATTACAAATCTTCTCACCATACTATTTTGAGTTTCTAAAATTCAATAAGTTAGAGGCTGTTTTTTTTTTTTTTTTTTCTTCAAGATGTCACAGGGGAAAAAAAATCAACACCAAAATCCACAGAGTAGATAACCTGTCATTCTCTCCATTACAAGAGGTCTGAGTCTTGCAGAGAGGAGTAACTTGCTCTTGTCAGTTCAACCTAAGAAATTTTCCCAAACTTTCAGCAAGAATTACCAATAAATATTTAGCCAAGTACATGCAGCTATGAACATTGACAGGAAGGGTCTCAGGACAGGACTCAAGAAAAAAAAAAGTGCTCGCTTCAGCAGCACATATGCTAAAATTGGAACGATACAGAGAAGATTAGCATGGTCCCTGTGCAAGGATGACACGCAAATTCGTAAAGCGTTCCATATTTTTAGCTAAGCTTTGGAAACAACCCAAATGCCCAAAAATAGATGACTGGATCAAGAAGATGTGGTATGTATACACCATAGAATATTACTCAGCATTCAAAAAAGATAAACACATGCAATTTGCAGCAACATGGATGGAGCTGGAAGGGATCATGCTCAGCAAAATAAGCCAGAAAGAAAAAGAAAAATACCGGATGGTCTCACTCATAGCAGGGATCTAGAAAACCTAAATAAGGGACCAGGAAAAAGAATAACTATATGAAAGAAAATATCAAAATCAACAAACAACTATGAACAAGAGACACTCTATGGGGGGTGGGGGCAGGGAGGGAAGGGATTGAGGTCAAAATAAGGGGGTCGCAATTGTATGGGGAATATAAAAATAAAAAAATATATATTAAAAAAAAAAAAAGCTGTGCTGAAATTTTGCAGTTCAATTTGCTCTTCCCACTGGCTGGTAAACAAGAGGTTAAAACCTGATGGCACTGGACCCAGACACCTGCTGCCATGAATTTCCTGGGCTCATTGTTTCACTAACTTTTCCCCAGCCTGGGAATTCCTGAATTATCTTTCCACAGCTTATTAATTTGGCCACTATGGGAAGAAAATACAGGTACAGACCCAGAAGGAAAGAGAGTCACATATCTCAAGACTAGGCTGGTTCATGCTGGACCTTTACTCAGTCGCCATGAGATGCTTGCCTTAGAGAAGGCCATGAGACCTGCACCACCACCGAGCTGCAGCTGACTGGTGTCAAAATTAGCAGCGATAAATGGACTTCAGTCAAGTCCATCCTCCTTGTTTGCTTGACCAATAACGTTTAATTTCTTCGTTCTCAAATCTCAACCCTAAAAGGTACACCGACCCCTAAACCCAGTGTCTCAGAGAGTCTCTCAAGACCAGAGAGAACTTCCTGAAGTGGATAAATGCAGACTCCTTGTCAATTCTCACCAGTGTCTGTAGAATCCTCTTTTCAATCTTGACCAGAGGGTCTCAAGAGCCATTTTTTTGGCCTGAGAGCAGGACCCCTCGGCCCATCCCTCCTTTCCGTGTGTGGCACAACAGACTGTGGCTGGTACACTCCCAGCTTATCTACCTGTGCTGTGGGGGAGGCTGGGTTGTGGGTTCACTTCCTGTCTGGTGACAAAGGAGTTTCCTGTAAATGCAGACATGAAAAGAGATTCCCTTTTAAAAGGAACCAAAAAGAGGGTCTGGAGTATTCTCTTCATTTTCATAGAGATGTAATGAAAGAGGGTGGTAGGGGCAGCAGGATGGGATACCAGGATAGGCAGGAATGGACACCCACCTGCCTGGACTATAAGACAAAAGAGCCACCAAAAAGCCCCAAAAGGCCAAAATCCAAAACCAAGGGCTATAGCAATACAACACCCATACAATAGGGGTCTATGAGCTATAGTTGAACAAAGGACAGTGCCCAAGGAGAGGCCAGGTCACTGTCTGTGGGTTCTCACCTGTGCACAATTGCAAGAGATCTCAGGCTCAGGGAACAACAATCATGAGGTTTATCCTGCAAACAGGGGAAACAAAGAGCTAACTGTGGCCACAAGTGGCGGCTATCTCACCCAGGCGGTGTCCACCACAAGCACAAGCAGAATACAGGTCACCTGTCAACAGAGCTACACCACACTGGCCAGTAGAGACAGTCACCACTGGTCACGAGGAATGCTGGACAGCACTGGCCGGGAGTGATGGTCACTACTGGTTCCCCTGGGTGGTGTCAGAGACACCCAGTGTTAACAGCTGTCTGTGACACCAGGCCCAGAGTCTGTGTGCTCCTTTCTGGCGATGTCAGAGACATCGAGGCCCAGGCTCTGATAGCGGTATTTATCTTCTCTCCCCTGCTCAGAGGTCAGCTACGGGGTGCTCCCTTTCTTTCGTCTTCTTTCCACTCTGGTCCTTCTTTCTTTCTTCAGAGGTCAGAAATAATGTCTTCCCTTTCTTTCTTTGGAGACTGGAACAGTCTGTTTTTTCCAGCTTCTTCCGACCCCGGCTTATATTCTCTTTCAGGATGGCACACCCACAAGTCTGATTGGACCATGTTTCAATCTTGTGGCTGTTTGGACCATTTAACGCCAGTCAGCTCATTGCTTGCACCTGATTGGTCCAGTCCATCACCTGAGAAGTAAAAGGGTGGTTGCTGTGTTCTGAGGAGCAACTGTCACACCTGACTTACTGTGCAGCAGGAGGTGAGAGACCACTGCTGCTGTGGGCTCCCACCACTGAGGCAGCTCCTGCCGCTGAGGCAGCTGGGTTCTGGTAACAGTAATACAAGCTTTTAGAATGGAAAGACACAACAGAAAACAGGTTCACTATCCTCTATAATCTTTTTACAAGAAGTGTAATAAAATATCATCCTTAGAGTGGCTGCCTGGAAAGCACCACATACCGAAGATCATATCTAAAAGGTAATCCACAGGGTTTTCTTATTTTTTTTTTTTTATAAAAATGCATCAGTTGTTTTATTATTTTATTTTTTTAATATTTTATTTTATATAATTCTTACATCATTTTTCATTTTTGCACAATGTATGCATTTTCATTTTGGTTATATTCCCCATACAATTCCCACCCCCCTTATTTTGACCCTAATCCTTCCTCTCCCTGCCACTTCCCGCCCCCCCAGTGTGTCTCTGGTCCATAGTTGCTTGGCAGAAGAGCTAAAAAGAAACTTCTCTAAAGAGGAAATGCAAATGGCCAGCAGGCAGATGAAAAAATGATGTGATGTTCAACATCACTTTAATCAGGGAAATGCAAATCAAAACTACAATGAGATACCATCTTACACCAGTGAGAATGGCACATATTAAAAAAAATAGCAACAACAAATGTTGGCGAGGTTATGGAGAAAAAGGAACTCTCCTGCACGTTGGTGGGAGTGCAAACTGGTCCAACCACTATGGAGAGCTGTGTGGAGATTTCTGGACCTACTAAACATAGTTTCCATATGATCCACTCCTAGGTATTTACCCAAAGGTCACAAAAACATCAATTCCAAAGAGCACCTGCACCCCTATGTTTATAGCAGCACTATTTACAATAGGCAAACTATGGAAACAACCCAAATGCCCAAAAATAGATGACTGGATCAAGAAGATGTGGTACATATACACAATGAATATTACTCAGCAATCAAAAAAGATAAATTTATGCAATTTGCAGCAACATGGATGGGACTGGAAGGGATCATGCTCAGTGAAATAAGTCAGAAAGAAAAAGAAAAATAAGGGACCAGGAAAAAGACTAATTAATACAAAGTTTTCTTGTTTTTAAGACAGAAATTTTGATCAACCAGATTAAAATGGTTATATTTTTCCTAAAGCATAGGTATTTATTCTCTATAATGAGATACAAATCTTGGTTCTCCCAACAAATAAATGGAAAAAGTTAAGGTTAGAAAGCATACACTCTACTTGTGGCTGAAAACTCTGCCCTCATTCATCCTTGACAAGTCATCCAGTGCATCCTGAAATGAACATGCTAAAATGAACATGCTGAAATCTCTTTGCTTTCAGAAATAAACTTATCCCAGGTATTTGTAACCAATTTAGAGTATAGAATAATTCATTTCAAATTTTCAGACCTTTTAAAGTTTAGCTAAGCTTTATTTCTCTTTTTATTAATTCAACATGAAGTTGTTACCTCCCATGTTTTATCAGTGCTAGATCTGTATATGTATATTTATATATGAAATATCTTTTATGGCACGTTATCTTTGTAATCTTTGCTAATATATACCTTTTTTAACAAGAGTATAAATACCTTGAAAGCATACTCAATATATTTCAAATTTAACCCATCTCATCTCTTTTGCCTGACATTTGAAGTTTTCCCATCAACAGATCTATTCTAGATTTCTATCCTTATCGACAGTTCATTCCTTACCAAAATCTCCTCTTTAGTTAAGCAACAATGTCCCCTTTGCATGTGTTATCCTGTTTATGTCCTAGTTCTCACACCTATAAAGTGGGGGTAAAGAACTTAGCTTATAGAGCTGAGAAACATAAGTGGTTCAATTCATGTATAAAGTTTGTTGCTTATTCCATGGCTATGAAATATTCAGTTGGTACTATTTAGTATTATTTTACCACAAATATTTTGGTGCTTTTCAGCTGTCATGATTGTGCATATACTACCTCCTGATCTTTGCTTTTCTCACTCTTTCTATCCTTCATAGTGCAAGTATATTATTCTTCTTTGGAAAGATATTTGAACTGAACTCTCTGGCCTAAATTCCTGTATTTAACTTCAAAATTAGAAAGCTTAGCAAACGTTTGTCAGTCCTACCTCATGAAAACCTAAAATAATAGTAATGTGACTCCCATGTCAGAGATATTCTAAAGGTCATTTTTATTTCTCTGTGTGTCACATTCAAATAATCACACTCTATTTTTCCACAACCACCTCCATGGCATCTAAAATCAGCTCTCTGACCTCTTTTGATATATCTGTGTCACTTGGTGCCTACTACTTATAATTATTTTGTGAAATTATATACTTTACCTTTCAGAGAATTTTATTCTCTCATGGACCTACATTTTTCTCTGTATCCCATTATCATATTTTATTTTTCTTTGTCCTCCAAGATAACCATAAGGACTAAAATCAGAACGATGACCTTTCCTTTGTAGGTAACTATACACTGAGTCACAGGACCCTGGTGTTACAGAATGTGTATCATTTAAAACAAAATAGTAACTACTGAGAGATTAAATTTCTTTAAAAGAAGTTGTTCTTTAAAACTAAGCTGTGGGCTGGTCCTCCCCTGGTGGCGCAGTGGTTGAGTGCTGGGCTGCGAAGCTGCCCGCAGCCTCTGCAGCTCCAGTTCGATCCCCGGCCACCGGCGAGGGTCCCACATGGTGCACAGACCTCTCCTGTGGCCCGCTGCTCCCCTCAGCAGTGTACTTCTGTCCTTCTGCCTGTTCTGCTCCCCGCTCTGGCTCTGGTGAATTCTCTCACCCTCCCGTGCTTCTGACTGTACCCAGTGCTTGTATAAATAAATAAATAAATAAATAAATAAATAAATAAATAAATAAAAAGAAGCTCTGGGGACCTCCCTGGTGGCACAGAGGTTAAAGTCAAAGGGCTATCAAGCTATTGCCAGCCACTAAAGCATGAGTTCGACCCCCTGCCAGGGAACTGACCCGCATGATGTAGTAGACCTCTCCAGTCTCACCTGCAACTCCCCTCAGCAGTGTATTTCAGTAGATCCGCCTATTCTGCCTGTTCTGTTCTCCACTCTGTCTCTGGTGAATCCTCTCACCCCCTACTATACTGCTGGCCTACCCCCCAGTTCTTATATGCACAAATAAATAAAAAAAAACTTTTAAAAAGATTAAAAAAAAAAACTTTGACTTGGTGAATGACTGCCTTTTACCTTTATCAACAGAACTTGGTGTTAAACCAGCTGCACTGCTCTCCATGTCATTCATTTTCTAATACCCCAGAGCCGGGACAGTGAGGATGCCAGTCTGGCAGTTGCCATAAACAAGGCAATCTTTCAGACTGGTGCATAGCTCTACTAAGGATTTATGAAGGAAGGGGAGTCTATGGAAATGCAATGGGGAAGGAATAAAGGGTTCTTGTTGAACATGAACAGGGATTTTTTTTTTTTTTTTGGAAACAGTGAGAATCAGACATTCTATGCCTTGACAGCTACAATCTCATGGACCAAAAGCAAGTCATGGTAGACTCGCTGACTTTAAAGAGAGTAAGGAAGTTCAATGATACCATGTTATTAGAAGGGGGAAATATGGAAACTTTTATAACAGCACTAAAGATAACTCTGTCAATTCCATGCCTATTTATATCAAAACAAAACAAATAACAGAATGACTAAATGAAGAGATTTTTTTTTGTTCTGGCAGATTATCTACTTTTTCCTCCAATTTTGTTTCTGTAGGTATACTATTAACCCACCTCCAAACGAACTTTTTCCTTCACAAAATATTCAAATGAGTAACTGAGTAAATGAGTAACTCAGAGTAATTGACTTCTGCCCTGAAGACATAGTCCCTCCCACACGGACTCCCCCACTTCTACCTGTAGCGCCCTCTGGACCAATCTGGCAATCACAAAGTATGAGGACAAGTGACACTTTAGAGCAGATAAACTGCCATGTCCAGCCCCTCTCTTTTCTAAGACTATTGTTTCCCTGGAGTAGCAGACAACAGTCAGCACCACATGTTGGGGAGGTGGAGGGTCCAGTAGGGGGAGGCCAAACCAGGCTGTTTTTATGGTGGGGGGAGGATTTACAGGCTTCACTTGACTGCAGGGCTGTAAGAGAGAGTTGGCTTAGGTATCTGACAAAGGTATTTTATCATTATTTGTTCTGGTTACCCAGGGACCATAGGAAAAAGACTGGCAAGCAATCAAGAGATTTTTTTTGACAGCTGAGAAGACAGATGTGAGCATAAAAACTCCGGTCGAGGTATTCTTCACAAGATACTTAATGTGCTGTATATCTTCACACAGAGCTCAATGGAGGCTCCGTAATGCCGCTTTGACTTTTCAAGTAACCTCTGCAGGAAATCTCTCCATTATTCTGGAAAGCCTTTACCTCGGGTGAAAAACAGCTTCTGTATAGGTGATGCTCCTATAGTCCAAATCTCTATTTGGACTCATTAATCATTTCTATTATGACCAAATTATTCAAGGCTATAAGATATAATAAAAAAAAAATGTCTTGTTAATACAAAAACGTCCAAGAGAGTACTTAGGGAAATTAAATAGACTGGAAAACATATGTTAGATGTCTTCCAAATTAGACTATGTAAATAAATGATTCTGGTTTAATCACATGGCAATTTACAGGGACTTTTTTTATATAAAAATGATCACATCACAGTCTCTGACAAGAATTTGATACAGATTGAGCTATTTGGCTTGCTGCACGAGTAGTTTTAGAGTTTTTATTTGCCATTAATCTTTTTAAATACTTGGTTTATTATTTTACTCAAGAATACTGTGTTGAAGTCAATCACACTGTGAATTTTGAAATATAATTCAGTGTCTAAAGTCTGGAAGCCAGTTGTCAAGTTTTAGACCCCCAGCTTTCCATGGTTCTGTATTTCACAGCCCATTGTGGGTTACCCAGGCAAATTCTCACTTGATGAACTATGTGGATCGTGTGTGGCTAGAAAATTGTGAAGTTTTTATGTTGCTCTACTGACTTTCATAGGAGAAGGCAGGCCAGAGCTCTTACTGATTTTAGGTGCAGGGTCACACAGAACAAGACAGAAAATCTTTGACCTCATAGTTTGTAAGTTTAATCAATTCAAGTAGACCATAATGATGGTGACAGGCATTTATTTATTTAATATTTTATTTTGTATATTTTATACTTCATTTTTCATTTTTGTACAATGTTTGCATTTTCATCTCGGTTATAGTCCCTGTGAAATTCACATGACCCATTCACCCATGAAGCATCACCATAGTCCCTTGTGTTCTTCCCATACAGGTTTTGATCCTATTCCCTTCTCCCCCCACCCCTACAGAATGTCTCTGGTTTATAGTTGCCTGTTCATTTTGATTTTTACTTCATTGCTATTACTTTTTTTTTCTTGATCCCTAATTTAGATCCTATACATTCCTCCTATAAGTGAAACCATCTGATATTTTTCTTTTTCTTTCTGGCTTATTTCACTGAGCATGATCCCTTCCAGCTCCATCCATGTTGCTGCAAATTGCATGAGTTTATCTTTTTTGATTGCTGAGTAATATTCATTGTGGATATGTACCACATCTTCTTGATCCAGTCATCTATTTTGGGCATTTGGGTTGTTTCCAAAGATTAGCTATTGTAAACAGTGCTGCTATAAACATAGGGGTGCAGGTGTCCTTTTGAATTAATGTTTCTGTGTCCTTTGGGTAGATCCCTAGGAGTGGAATTGCTGGATCATATGGTAGCTCCATTTTCAGTTAGTTGAGGAAACTCCAGACAGCTTTTCATAGTGGTTGGACCAGTTGGCACCCCCACCAGCAGTGCAGGAGAGTTCCTTTTTCTCCACATCCTCGCCAACATTTGTTGATGCTAGTTTTTTTTTTTTTTTTAAGTATTTTTTTTTTTTTTTAAGATTTATTTATTTATTTATACAAGCACTGGGTACAGTCAGAGGCACGGGAGAATTCACCAGAGCCAGAGCGGGGAGCAGAGCAGGCAGAGGGACCGAAGTACACTGCTGAGGGGAGCAGCAGGCGGCAGGAGAGGTCTGCGTGCCATGTGGTACCCTCCTCCTGTGGCCGGGATGCAGCTGGGGATCAAACCGGCGCCCGGAGGCTGCGGGCAGCTTCACAACCCAGCGCTCAACCGCTGAGCCACCGGGGAGGCCCGATGCTAGTATTTTTTAATATGTGCCATTCTCACTGGTGTAAGATGGTATCTCATTTGGTGTAAGATGGTTTTGATTTGTATTTCCATGATTACAAGTGATGTTGAACATTTTTTTCATATGCCTGTTCATTTGCATTTCCTCTTTGGAGAAGTTTCTTTTTAGCTTTGCTGCCCTTTTTTTTTTTTTTTAAGGATTTATTTATTTATTTGTTTGTTTGTTTGTTTGTTTATTTATACAAGCACTGGGTACAGTCAGAAGTGTGGGAGGGTGAGAGAATTCACCAAAGCCAGAGCGGGGAACAGAACAGGCAAACAGATGAAATACACTTCTGAGGGAGCAGCGGGTGGCAGGAGAGGTCTGTGTGCCATGTGGGACCCTCGCCTGTGGCCGGGGATCAAACCAGTGCTGCAGAGGCTGGGGGCAGCTTCGCAGCCCAGCGCTCAATCGCTGTGCCACCAGGAGAGGCCCTACACATTTTTTTACTGTTATTTACTTTCTTTTTGTTGCATCATCTCAGTTTTTTGTAGATTTTTGTGATCAGTCACTTATCATTAGTATTGTGTGCAAAAATTTTCTCCCAATCAGTGGGGTTTCTCTTTGTTTTGGTTAATGTCTCTTTTGCTATACAGAAGTTCTTTAATTTGATGTAGCCCCAGCTGTTTATCCTTTCCTTCACTACCTTTGTTTTGGGGGGTGTGGGTGAAAGACATTTATATGGGATGGAAGAGTCTGGAGACAAAGAGGTAGTGTACAGGTTCAGTCTGTTACACTAGACTAGTATCCCTCCAAGTATGTTTGTTTGTTCTTCTAAAACATATGATTTTTTTTTTCCATTTCTCTTGCAGCTAGATACAACAGTGTAGTTCGGTTTGGAACAATGAAATGTGAGTAAAATGTTCCTGAGCAATTTCTTGGCTTTCTCAAACATGAAAAGAAAAAGACCTCTTTCCTTGGTCTTTGACAGTTTTTCCCTTTCCACGGCCTGACACATAAATGTCATAATTGCCCACTTTCCGCCACATGGATGAATACTGGTTTTTACAGCAACAAAGTGAAGGAATTTGAGACCCCAGATAAAATTATGGGCAAGATTGTCCTGCCATCTTTGAAGAAGTAGACTGCTATATTATCAAAATAAACTATTGTTTAAACTACTCTATTTTGAACTTACTTCCTTTTCTTTTTTGTCCTTTTTGAACTTTTCAGTGGATCATTTACTCTAACCAATAAAAGCTATTTGGCTCAAGGTATTTCAATCTCATTTAGCCTGACAGGGAACACTTAATTTGAGCATCTCACAGAAGCCTCTTCCATGCATCACTCTTTGGGATACCTAGGAAAAGATCCTCAGAATTGCTTATTAGCACCCAGAGGTTATTTACAGAGTAGGTTCAGTCTCTTGCAGTTAAGAGCAATTATGAGTCATGGATTTGCCCATCGGAGCTTAGTTACCTGAAACCCAACTTTCTCTGTTTTATTGCTCTTTCAATTTCTTCTGACAACCTAGACAAACTGACTCAATACTCCTCCCGCTCTCATGTCCTTAGTTTTCTTGCTTGATTTATAGACATGAATGGATTTTACAAAAAGACAATCAGAAATAATAAAAACAGTCCCTCAAGAAAGGCTGCTTTTCAAACATAGGGTGTGTGTTCAAATGCTGTCAGAAGCAATTGACTAGTATTCTTTCTTATCACTCAAATGAACTTCCTGGAATGGCCTAAGTCAAATGTCCCGTCCTGTGAATTTGTTCAAGTCTATCACATGGGGATGTTAGCGAAATATACATCAAAACACTTTTGAGATTATGTAATTCAGGACGTGTAATAAATGAGATAAAATTTCATGCACTTTAGTAATTACATCAAAACTATAATTTACTTTTACAACTTATAGTTATGAGAAATTAGAGAAGGTACAGACTTCTAAATTATTAAGACAACAGAAGAATATTAGGTGGAGTGATTGCCAAATGAACCTCCTCTCTCTTTCCCTCCATGGAATATGCAAACAAAAGTACCCAAAAGAGGAGCCTGGATCTCTTATCTTCATTGTCACATTCACTGTTGGAGGGCTTTTCTGAAGAGTTCTTATTGGTCTTCTACATTTAAATTAAGCCCTGGTCCCCCTCAGACTCCTCTTTCAATATAATCTTAGCAAGAGTAGGCAGAGTTATAGCTTTCTGTTAATTACATGATGTATTACTTATTCTATGTAGAAATCCTTTGTTCTCTTCTATATACCTTCCACCATTACCTGTGACCATGATATACTGAGTTAATATTAAATTGTTAATATTAGAGAATATTAGTTAATGCTTATCAGAAACTTAAAAGAATCTAAAAGTTCTATGTATTTGATGGATATATAAGAAGAGAATTGGACCCAGCAATGGACTTAATATAAACATTGATTCTCAATGATACACACCTGAAATTTATAAAATGTTAAAATGATATGTATTTCCTTTTTTTTAAAGATTTATTTATTTATGCATAGAAGAACTGGGGTGTAGGTCAGCAGTGCAGGGAGTGAGGGGATTCACCAGAAACAGAATGGGGAGCAGAACAGACAGATGTATTGAAACACACTGCTGAGGGGAGCAGTGGGTGAGGCAGGAGAGGCCTGCTGCTGCATGTGGGTTGTTCCCTTGCCTGCCAGGGATCAAACTCAGTGCTACAATGGCTGGAAGTAGCTTGATAGTGCTGTCTTTAGCCCCTCAGCCACCAGGGAGGCCCAAATGATATGTATTTTCAATAAAAAGTACTAAAAAGGATTTATAACTGCGAACATATTTCCTTTATTTTATAACATAACTAATAGTAATTGAAAAAAATTATACAATTAGTATGTCATTTGGATTGATGGTTATTTTTTTAAAACAAATATTAATATTAAAGAAAAACAATAAAATAAAAACAATAAGATAATTATCAATCTCTTTATCTGTAACTTATTTCATAAATGTATTTATCTATGTGCATATATTTAAAAATACACACACAACTAGAGTCAAATGCTTTTGCACTTGAGGCTAAAGAACTATGAAAAAGACTCAATGTGAATGTGCCCATGAGGGGATCTATATAGGAATTTACTGATAGGAAAAGCACACCCTAGACATGCTTCAAAGACAGAGCAGTGAAGAACTAAATTGGTACTTTCAGGCTGAATAGAAACAGAAGGGACACTGCACAAGGAGGAAAAAAGAGAAGAGAAAATGCATATGAGACTAAACATCAAGTTAATCTTGCAGTTATGTTCTCTAATTCGAAATGTGGCATAACATTAAAATACATATGAAAACTGAGCATTGCTATTTAAGAATGGGGATGCACAGTAGGCATGAAGGTCAAACTCTAAATTTACAGACTGAAAGTTGTGTGTCCTCAAGGCAATGCAGTCATTACACTTACATGGATAGCAAATTGGTCTCTCATCATTTGTTTTAAATAATTAGCCATCTGGTCCAAAAGGCATACTAGTCATATATTTTTTTCAACTATTATTAGTTATGTTATAAAATAAAGAAATTATGTTCTCATTTATGAATCCTTTTTAGCATTTTTATTGAAAATGTATGTCATTATAACATTTTATAAGTTTTAGGTTTGCATCATTGAGAACCGATATGTGTATATACTACATTAAGTCCCTTGCTGAGTCCAATTCTTTCCTTACATATCCATCAAAAACATAGAACTTTTAGTCTTCTGCTTTAAGTTCCTGATAATTATTCATGCTCTGAATATAATGGGGAGCAATCTGATGAAATTGAGTGTTTAATTATAGGAAATCATCATGACAAATTAAATGCTTTGCATAAATATAACCAAAAGTTAAAACAGAGTTAAATAACCTGCCAATCCTTAGAAATCTGGATTCTTCCAGATAATAGCAGTTGTTTTGCTTGAACTCAATGGCATTAGTAAAACTGTCTGTTAGCTGGAAGACAATAGTGAATGGACAGGGAAAATTATAAATTTAGCTCTTTCTGCTTTAATGTGTTTCTCCATAAAGGTAAATGTTCTTTCCAGGTTTGATGTTCAGGGACTTGTTTGTTTAGGGTATGACCTATGGTGGAGAATATGTCCCCGCTCTTCTTAGGCCTCATGCATCTAGTTAGTCCTGTGACAACTCCTGGCCAAGATTTTATAGGAGGAAGTTGTGTACATTATTTTCAGGGTTAACTAAACAAACAAAACCCCAGTATCCTATAGCTCTAGTTTTTTCTGCCAAGGCATGGCAGGCTCTAAATTCTGGATAGCATGGCCAGGGAAGGAAGAGGCCTAAAACCTAGTCACTACCGAAAGGAGCAACCCTGGGCAGTTTCCCAGTCCCATCTGGATATGATATGAGCAAGAGTTTTCCTTATATTAATGTGCTCAAAATTTCATGTCTGTTGATTGTAATAATTCTTGCTATTTACTGTGACATCTGTAGAAGTCAACTCTGGAGGTAGATTGTTGTCAAAAAATTGACCCTAAACTACATTGCATTGGTTTCATGGTCAAGCGAAGGACTGAAGTGAAAAATTGATCTTAGAGACTGGGAAATGTGACAAATTCTTTGATAAAGAAACTAAACATGTAGAATGAGAACCTACTTTCGCATTTAAACCTTCCCATGGCATCAGTAAGGTGAATAGGATTGAGTGAGCTCTGATGGGGGGAGCAAATAACAAAAGATAGTTGAACCTATAACAGAAAAGAATTTTTTAGGTCATTATCTGAACAATATAGGGATTTGGACTAATAGGCTAGAAGCTAGTTAGAGAGTAGGATAAAATACATTGCTAAAATAGAAAAGAAAGTCCAAAGTTATAATCTTTGAAAGTTAGGAAAATGCAAAATATATATGCATCAAAAAATATTTTTAGGCATTTGGAAGCTATCAAAATTACAAGGGATTTAGAAATAAGGATCCTAGCAAAATGGAAAATACCCAATGATATGTCTTCCATCCTACCCCACTTTCTTGCCCCTCAAAGACTTTACATATTCAAAGTCTCTACAGGCTGAAAGCAGTTTTTAATTTTTTTTTTGAGATAACGTTGATTTGTAACACTATGATTCAGAGGTATAGGGTCATGCCTTTCATATGCATGTCAATATGCCACACCCACCACGAAGGCACCCACAGTCCACTGTAGTCCATTGTGTTTTAAGAGGCTGAGAAGCTGGCAATATTACAGCAATGTTACACCAAAGATGGTGGCAATATTACAGTCCTGGAGAGAAAAGAATTAGGTTCAGAAAAATTGAAATAGCCAAGACTTCAGGGGTTAGGATGCTAGAAAGAATGGGAGCATAAAGAATAAGCCCAACATTTGGCATATGTTTCTTCTTAGGAAGAATTTATAGAAACTGGCTTAGAGATTGAAAAGCCAGGCACGAAGTGGGGGCTGAGAGACTAAGAAACTGACCAGAGATCACAGATTTTGGCAGTCCAAAGGTGCTGTGGAGGTGGTGGGGGAAGGGCACAGATTGTAATTCAAGCTCTGCCAATGAAAGCTGGCATGGGTGCCAAGAAAAACTGGCCTTGGTAAACCACATAGACTCAGTTGTGAGTCCTGCAGGGTATTTCTAAACAGTAGCCAACTGGCAGCAATGAATACACTTTTAAAAATTTATCTTGGAAAGATGCCATTCTTTATGAAAACTCAATTTGAAGAGATTTGTATTTTTTCAGATTTTGGATCTAAAAGACACGTTAACTTTTATATGACACCATTTAAAATCCTCATAACTAAAGCTGTTGTGGCGTATAACTTCATTTGATTATCCAGACTGCACTTTCTTAGTCCTCACTAAATTCCAAAATCTGTGGCAGATATTAGATATACAAGGTAACTAAGACACCATTCATTTTCTCTAGAAGTTTACAATCTAAGTGCAAGTTATCTATGAAGGCTACCTCTAGGCTAGAGGCTTGTGCTTTGAGAGGTGAAATCATCATCGGGAGGCTATAAAGACAAGTAAGAGAATAAGACACACATTATCTAAACAAGCATCTATGGGGTCATTGTTACCTTGCTTCTCCCACTAAAGAAACAGTAACCTTGACCATTAGATTCTGTAAAGGACTTGATAAACAAATCAATAATAATAAATAGATCAGAAAATATTCAAGTATTTTCTGA